CACCCACACCCACACCCACACCCACACCCGACCGGAAACCGCGAAGGAACGAACCGTTTCCCACCGGAAAACTGTAAGGATCCGCTTCCACATTCTTTGAAAGATCTTTGAAAGATCTTTGAAAGATCACGAAAGATCTTTCAAAGAATGCGGGAGCGGATCCTTAGAGTTTTCGGGTGGGAAACGGTTCATTCCTTGGCGGTTTCCGGTCGGTTCCTGCGGGCTATTGTTTTTTTCCCGTGGATTTCCGTCAGCGGGAAATTCTCGGAACGCTGCGTTTCCGGGTACGAGAAATTTCCGACCAGAATACTGCTTCCATGTTCCGGGTGTTTTTCCGGTCATTTCCAGCGGGAAAGACACCGGAAACGGCGGGAAGAGGCCGGAAAATACACCGTTTCCGGCCGGCTCCTGCAGGCTCCAGAGGCCGGAATCATTGACCTGGACATGTTTCCATTAGTAGTATTTCTTGCTCAGAATTAAAATAGGTTTCTGAACATTTCACAGATTAAAATTTCTATCACAATTCGAATATGTAATTTTATTGTTTTTTTTGTGTTGTGTTTTACAGAAAACATTATCATTAGAGAGAAAATTCAGCTCGAATGGATCTCTTAATTGCGTGTCTTCTATTTAGATTAATAATAATTATCATTTTGTTAATCATATTGCTTCAATTATCGACAACATTTCTTTTCAGATTATCAGAAGAGCAACAATAATCAAGGGTGTGGATGTGGGTGTGGTTCTTCTTTGAAACCGACAACCACTCACACCCACACCCTCATTCTTCATCACTTTTTTTCATTTTTGATTCATGATAAACTTTTCTATTCTATTTAATTAGATATGTTAGTCTTTTCTTTTTTTAGATAAACGTAATTATTCATAGTAGATGATGCACGGGTTTCGATGGTGATATTGATAAATATTCTCTAGGCAAAAATAGTGATATGCTAGTTTCCAAAACCTTTATCCGATATCAAACGTGATAATGATATAATTTATGATATAGTATTAGCATCACTAATAAACGATGAAAGTTGTATAAAACCGCTAATGACATGATTATCAGTTTTTGCGTAATCTAAATTACGGAATTTCTATTCGTTCATACCTGATGCATCTCATATCTTGGAGTATAAAGAATAGATACTTCGATTGGCGATTCGATTAAAGCATAAGTTTTAAAGACAAATGTGAGTCCTCTATTTATCAACACACATTCACAACCGTATTCTGTTATCTAAGTTATTTATTGGCATACAAAGACATCACGTGAGACTTTTCATAGCGTAAGTATCATTTATTCCAAACGATATATTTATTTACTTCCACCTTGCTTTCATCAAGCTTTTATTCATTCTTCTCCGACACAAAATTGAGACTACCATTCGAAGGGATTTCGAATGATCGTTCACTGTATTTTCATACATTAGTATAATAATATCAAAAGACAATTCATTTATTAAGGACAATTTTCTCTTCGGCAAGTTCTAGTTTGAGGATTGTATTTGCAGTTAGCTTTGCATAGATATTCAGCTTTGCAATTACCTCCATCTCGTCCAAATTTATTTGCTCTTTGATCTGCTTGACTATCTGCTGAACCCGCATCTTGAGCTTCTTCACGGCAATCACTAACTGAAAGAATGACATGCAACGAGTTAAAAAATGATATTATAGAGTATATATAATGGCTCACTTTTTTTCGCAATGCGTATATTGTTAGGTGTTTTTCCACAAAGATAAACAGCGTCATAGTTTCCTTGACAATGAAAAAATTTGTCACAATTCTTACAATTAGCAGTCGTCATTTCATTATATCGAGTCCTCAACTGCCGACTAGGACATGCATTTATATCTCGACCAGCACACCAGAAGAATTGAGCCAAATTCATTGGTAGTGTTCCTGCAACTATCAAAATGAAGCAGAATAATATTAAATAATATGCAAGATGCATCTCTTTGCGTTTAAATTCCCAATATAAGTCGCTATTAATCGTGGCGTTAAATATATACGACTGAGATAACGCTGATATATGGCTTACGTCCGTTTTCGTGAAGCAAACGAAGAAAAATTTGTTTTGCCAACTGCATCAAATTTCAAATGCAATTAAATCAAAATGTCACTGAGATAAAGAAGGAGTAATTGAAATGCGTAAAAGAAAAATTGAAACAGCGAGTTTTTATTGTATTATAAACATTTGATAGATCTCAAAACAGTGTTATTGCGTTGCAATAGTATGAAAGACAAGAGAGAAAAGTCGAAATGCAAAATCAATAAAATAACTTATGATGTATAATTAACAGAACAAATGTTGGACCCTATCTCTCTTCGACGGAAGAGCGCTGATATAAAATTTCTTAAACTAAAAGACAGAGATTTTTTGCTCTTACGGATAATATATAACTTATCTTTATCAAACGTTTATTAGCGTAGCAACGTAACAACAAAGAGAAGTACCCTTAAAAAATGACCGCTTTTTTTCTACAATATAACAGCAGAAAATGTCGATTCCTTTATTTCTTCGATAAATGTGTTACAGAAGGAATGTTTTACTATCAGACGATAGAAAGTTTTTTTCTCTTTCAAACTGTAAAAAGTTTAGACATGTCACGTTCGTGCATAGAACAAAGCGAATAAAAGAAGAAACACTTGCGAAGTGATTTTATTATTTCTCTATATACTCATTAAATATATTTTGACAGACAACAGATTAGTTATACGTATCTATGTTTTTACGACACTGATCTGATCAGTACATAAAAACCAAACTAATTATCGCTTTACAGGATTCTTTTAACAAGTTCCTAAATATCGCATTAACTGTCCTTCTACAACATATTTTTGATAACTCTATAGAACGATTGGATATTTATTACGCAAGTATTCCTTCTTTTATTCATCTCGTTTTATTTGCGAATGTGTTACATTTATGAATCTTATTTAGTTTGGAAGAAGAAAAATTTTGTATCCTCTGATAATAACATATTGCGCCTATAATATATTAATTAAAAAAAATCGAATGTGCGACATTTTCTGCTGCTTTTTTGAATAATACGAAAAATGCGAAATAATCCTCAGGATGCTCCTGTCATTTGTTGCTTTACTATGCTAGTAGACGTGTGATAAAAATTAATTCTATATTGTTCGAAAAAGAAAAGGACTCTATCTTTTGGTTTTAGAGGTTTGGATGTGGGTGTGTTCAAAACTCAAATAATTAATGAATTTCTTAATTCAATGAATTTCATATCTAAGACATCCAGAAGCTACACCGCTACATGGCTTCATACAAATGTAAAGAATTCCAATAAAATTATTTACAACTACTCGATCATATCAAAGTCGGTCTTTTTTTCTCATTTGGGCACGTAAAATTACAGAATCAATTTTCAAAATTATCAGTTTTCTGCTTCCTTTATTGTATGAGTCACTGCTTATGACAAAAGTCAATTTGAATTAATGAACATTACAAAAAGACATTTTCTTCTTTGATTCATGAATGATTGAAATGCATTCTACTATATTCGATTTTTTTTTATTTGAAGAATATGCGACAAAGAATCAGAAATAAGAACAGGTAGTTTTTACTGAGACTAGTTACAAGCTTTACTTTTGGAAAATTGACTTCTCTTCAATGTGTATTTCTAACGTAGTAGCAAAATATTCATGTCTTTCTTTGATAATGAAATAGGTACGAATTCATCAATGAACCATGGACTGGGAATTATTTGGCTAATCCCGTTTTGTTTTTACCTGGCATTGCTGGCTCTCAAAACCTTCAATCATTATACGACAAACTGGCAAAAGTGATTCGATCAGTTGATAATAAGACGTTAATCTTCTATGAATCTGTCACTTGGGAAGATTTGTAGCAATGAAGAAGTACGATTAAAAATATGATATTTTATTCTATTTCTAGCTCGACTCAATGGAAAGTATATGGGCACTGGATTCACACATGTACCAGGTAGTAATAATTATCGTGATCGTAGTGTTCTCGCCTATCATTATTATTGTACTATTTGGATAACTTAGGTGATTCATTATTTCTAACCGAATTCGGTGGATGTGATGATTCACCGACGTGTGATGGACAACTCAATTGGGGTTTTCAGGCTGCTGATCGATATTTTCAATCATGGACTTACTGGGGCGATGTTTACGGTGATATGGTCACAGTCAAGCGATTATCACGACCCTATGCTCGTGCTCTCACAGGCTTGTCCAATGTAATGGAATATAGTGTTGACACACGAACGTTCTTATTACAATATTTTTTTATATACATCAATTGAGAAACCAACAGAAATTTATCTATCACTTTTAGTCTATCCAAAAGCAAGTTACAATATCACTGTTAATGAAAATATTCAATGGAAAATCGATCCGACTGATTCAAATATAATTCTGATCGAGCCAATTAAACAACGTATTTATAGTCAAGAAAAAAATGCTATAGGATTTGTGTATATCACTGCAAAGGAAGAATAATTTGAATTTGTCTTACAAATACCATTCTTTCAATTATTTCCGGTAATGAATATTGCGTGTCAATTCTCCTCTTTCTTCTTTTTTAATTATAACATACAGTGGTCAATCGTGATTTCATTTTTAGCACAATAAATTTCGCATAATTTCTTCTCTATGATTCATTGAATGAAGTTTTCAGTTTACTCAATTCAGAACTTCAATCGCTCCTTGAGTCTGTGCCTATTCAACAACAGACGATTGTTTCATCGATTTGTGGATGATAACAACGTCGTCAGTTTGATGTTTACCTTTACTTAGTCTCTCTACATCAGGATCAATTATTGCTCAACAATACAATGGCTCGAATATTGTCAGCATCAACACTGGAATTATCCCGAATGCAACTTGAACATATGGTCTACACATATCCGATCAATATTTAATTCTGATAAAAATTGTAAAAATGCATTTGAGCTAAATTAAAAATTGATTACAAAAAGTTTATTATATCGACACTCTGGGACTACGTGCAGGTTGTGCTAGAATATTATGTACCTTAGATCGAAATCGAACCGAGTTTAACTCGAAGGACTCGGTTTTTTTTTGAAAGTCTTTTTTATAGAACGAGATAGCAACGTGATGGTACGACAACAAAATGGAACAAAAGAATAATCCCCTTTCGCAAGGGATCGAATCTTGTGTCCTCTGCTTTCCAGGCAGCTGTACTACCACTATACTACTGTAGTGTGTTTCATTTTTTTTGCCTTTACAAATGATTGTTTAAATGAATGATATGTTGTCTTTTTCAAAGCTTTATTCATAGGAAACAATTTTTTCTTTTTCGTTTATTTTCTTTCTTTTATTATTTTGCGCATTTCAATCTCAACTAAATTCTCATGTTAACTGTAACATATATGAATAGATCAGAATGAGGAATCTAAAAATTGTGACTACAAATCATAACCATTTTCATATAGAGTTTATATATGCAAAAAACAAAAAGAAAAAAGAAAAGTTCATTGCACTGTACGAAAATAATGGGGTCATCTTTCTTCTTCATCATATGATTGTGCAAAAAAATGAAAACAAAGAAAAATGATCACATAAAATTGTTCTCTATGATCGCAATCCAATAAATACATATACATCGTTTTTCATCTCGCATCATTAACAATATACAATATAAAACCATATACTTTTGTTCTATATACACAAATTCGATATTTTGATTATGATCAATGATATAATTGAATACAAAATTTTCTCAGTAGACACGGTTGAAATTAGTCTCAACTGAATTCTGGAACACTATATACATATTCTCTGATAGAATCAATTGAATTTGTAACGAAGAAATATTTATTAATCATGAATAATAACAAAGAAAAAAAATTCACATTGAACAGTTTTACAATTATACTCGATGAAAATTAAGACAATTTGTAGTTCTAATAGCCAGTATGTTTGAACCAAATAAAGTAGCATTATGAGCTGTTGGTTCGTATGAACGTTTCGCTTTCACTTGTCCATCTTTATTAATATGTAAAAGACTTGATGTTTTATGATCGATTACAAGCCACTCATCACATGTAAGTGAACAAATACGATTGACTCGTCCACCCTGATATGTAATATTAAGAGGAACTGACCAAAGTTGATCGAGTGTTGATGAAGATCGAACTTCTATACGTACTGTTTTACTGGAAGAATATTTAAAGTATTGATATGATATTAATAAAGCAAGTGTTCCATTATTATAAGCAATATTATGAATAAATTCATCTGTGTTATAAATTTGAGGAAATTTCCATTGTTTAATTAAACGAAATGATGGTAAAAGATTGAATTCAAAAATACCAGAATGTTCATCATTAATCGTAAGAAATAGAGATACATCCGAGCATGTACAAGACAACCACTGCTTCTTCTCGATTGTTTCAATAGATTGAACTAATGTTAAATTTTCATTAACTTGAAAAATTCCATTATTATTTGTGACTATAATAAAACAATTTAATGTTGAAGACCAACACATATCAGGAATACGATCATATTTCCATGGACATTGTTTTACAATAGTTAATTCTTTATCAAATAAACATAAATTAGGATATTGATCCAATAGTAAAAATCGTTTATTGCTAGTTAATACAGGCCAATCATCATTAGAACAATCGATTGTTCGATAAAGAGATGAAAGAGTTGATATATCAATTTCATTCAATGTCCATTTTTCAATATAAATCAAATTGTTATTAATAATTAAAGGATGAACATCAACTAAAATGCCATTCTCTTCATATTGATCTATATCACGTTTGATATCATTAATAATTGCTTTAAATGAAGAAATATCATCATAGGTAGTTTCTTGTTCTTGAATAAGTTCATTTGTTTTTAATTTTAATTGATGAATTTTTTTTCGTTTTTGACTAACTCGTTCAATACAACGTTGTTGTAATTCTTGATATTTTTCTTCATAAAAACGATCAATTTCTTTATGAGAATCATGACGCCATTTATCTAATTTTTGACGACATTTATCAATAATTTCATTAACATTTAATATTGATAATTGATTATCAAGATTATTAATTTCATCAACAAGAGGATGTATTTGAGAATTTATTGAATCATCATGTTCTTTTAAATGATCAGGACAAAGATTTTTATTACAACAATAACATAATGCTCATGCCTTACGTTTGCATGTTTCAATGCCACATGGTGGAGGCATTATTTTATCAAGAGATAATGACTCCTTTTGCTAGTAGTTATCAATATATATAGTGTCCAAACTAGACAATAAATAAATGAGGACGTCCGAAATGTCCATACTACCCGTCATAATCAGTCGTTGTGCGAGAAATGTCCTCCAACTATGTTTGAAATAGTCGAAAACATACTCACATTAATCATATCTAGTCCATTTTGTCTATTCATTCATTTTTGTTCAGATTAATGAGCAGAATACAGAAGTGAGAAAACAAGAAGACGAAAGATGAATTCGAGTATATGACTCGGCACTACTTCGATACTTAACGGCAAACTACAGTTTAATCTTTAAACGAACTTTTTTATTTAGACTAAATTATTCAAATTAGGGATGAGAAATTATTGTTATAAATAATAGATCAATAACAGAGAACTTTTTATTTTGAAGAAAAATCTCAACTTCAATCGCTATCTATTTCAACTATATCGATTCTGTTGGCCTATGTTTAAGGAATGGATTTGCTACTGTTTATGATGTTAATCGAACTAGAAATCTGAGAATTTGTATAGATCGCATGAATAAAGATTTCACATGTTTTGAATCTATTGAATTCTCTCGATATGATAAGATAGTTTAAGTTCAAACAATTTTCTGAACTTAAGAAAAATGTTTAATTTGAAATACTTGATAAATATCTCAACGAATGATGGTAGTTCAAAATTTCTATATATATATATATTTCAGGATTATTTCGTTAGAATAGATGAAATCATTCTTTTCACCCACACCCTAATTAATTATGTTTTAGTTTTTGATACAATAAGTTCATTATATAGATTAATAGAAATCAATCTATTCTCAACTATGAGTGATTTAGTTAATATAGGAAATATGACTTTTTATTTGATTAGCAAAAAAATGATATGAATATATATGATTAGTGCATATGAAAAATAATGAATTATCCAGTATCTTCTGCAACAATGATACATAGATCTTTAATCTTTTCAAACAATTTTCTCTCTATAACAGTAGAAATTCCTAAAAATGATAAAAACAAACATTTCTGCTTGGTCGTATTACTTTATTAAATGAAATTTTGTTGTTTGAAAAGTTCAAATTAAAATTATTTTTGTTTAAATAGCACGGTCACTCACTTATTATTAAAAGAGCGCCCTTCCCGAGGGAACCAAAAAACCGAAACATTCATCTAAATTTAATTTTTTTAAATTTTTTGTGGACGATCGAAAGATCATCACCTGCATTTATATTTTGTGGGTGTGGGTGTGGGTGTGGGTGTAGATGAACAGATACAGTACACCCACACCCACACCTTCACACCCACACCCACACGTACACCCCACACCCACACCCACACCCACACTCACACTCACCCACACCCACATTCACACCCACACCCACACCCACACCCACACCCACCCACACACCCACACCCACCCACACACCCACACCCACACCCACACCCACCCACACCCACACCCCACACCCACACCCAGCCACCCACACCCACACCCACACCCACACTCACCCACACCCACACCCACACCCAAATAATTCCAATTCTAACTTTACGTATCGCTATTTTTTCTTCTAATCAAAATCAAGAAATCATTAAACAATTTGAATTCTCTTCACAGAAGTTCTCAATATTTGATTGTTCTCATTATTTTACAGATTGATTTCATTTGAAGACAGTAAAGGATGCAATCAATTTGCAAAAATCGTTGAACTTATCGTATACAGCAGCTGTGAGAAAGAGCATAGATGTGCACTACTAAAATTTCAAATGACGAATTTCGGTTTTTACGAATATGATATGCACATCTATAACTTGAAATTTCTAATTAGTTCAGTCGCATGTCACACCAATATATGTCATATCATAGAATTTCAGAGTAGACATTATTATAGGAAAAATTCATCTGAAGAACGGTAACTATAAATTGGCAGAAGAGTTTTTTCAATAGAGCTCTTCGAGAAAAATCAAGATCCAAAGTTGAAAGCGCTAAGGTATTATATAATATGGGTCTATTGGGTG